GCAGGACGTAGTAGGTGCTCAGTGCACAACCCACCTGTGAGCAGCACTTGGTACTGGAAGAGCCGCTGGACCACCCTCAGCAGCCGGTGCTTCGCGCTCTGCCCGCCTCCGTGCTGGCCCTGCTGTCCCCGAGGGAAGACAGAGGCCGTCAGGGACCCTGCCCTGTCACCCCCCACGGCCGCCCCTTCTGCACCTCCCCAGAGCCAGCGGAGGAGCCCCCCGGCCTCGGATCCAGTCCCCCTCCTCCGGGAAGCCCTCCTGGGCCAGCCCAACTCTACTGTCCCCGCTGGGGACCTCAGGCCCGTGGTCAGAGCCCCTCAGCTGTGAGCCTCTGTGGGGACTGGATCCGGGTCCATGGCCAATGCCGCTGGTTTCCTTGGTCACCGCCATGGCTGACCCCCGCCTGGTTCCTGCTTGTCTTTCTCTCTTTCCTTTTCGTACTGGACATTCAGCCCAGGGCCTCTACACGGAACCACGTCCCCAGCCCTTTTCATCTTCTGTTTTGAGACAGGATCTTGCTAACTTGCCGAGGCTGGCCTCCACCTTAAGATCCTCCTGCCTCAGCCTCCCGAGGGTCCCATTCATCTGCACTAAGCCCCTTGAGGCCCTCCGCCAGCCCTGCGTCTTCCCAGCAGGGTCTCCAGGGACCCAGAGAGAGAGACCCACCTCAAATTCGCGGACGGCGGCTGCCAGCCGGGGAGAGAGGAGGCAGTTCTCGGCCAGCAGAGCCAGGTTCCTGTCGAACTGCAGGATGTGAGCCGCGTGGTGGGCGAACTCCTGCTCGCGGGCCAGGAAGACGTCGGCCACCTTCTGCTGGCCCTCCCTGCGGCCAGGGAGGGGGACCCCAGAGTCAGTGCGCAGCCTGCTGAGCCGCAGAGCGTCTGGGGGGAGGTGAGAGCCTCGTCCCTTGTTTTTTTAGAGACAGGGCCTCACTGAGTTGCTCAGGGCCTCGCCATTGTGGAGGCTGGCCTCCAAGTTGCGATCCTCCTGCCTCGGCCTCCCGAGCCGCTGGGACGACGAGTGTGCCCCACCGAGCCCGGCTCCGTGGGGATCTTCTTGCTCCCCCCCACTCCCCTGCCGTGAGGGGCTGCGGAGCCCCGAGTCCGCTCACCAGTTGGACAGCCTGTCCTCCAGCTCTTCCAGGATGCCTTGGTGGAGGTCGTGGATGGCTGGGAGCTCGCTCAGGCCCTGCCTCAGCTCCTCCCGGGCCAGCGCGTCTCTGCCCTCTTGGTCCATGTCATCCAGGGCCCTCAGGACGGCTCCGTGGAAATCCTGAAACCCCAGAGGGCGCGTTACCCACCGGTGACAGGACGGAGCACACGGATCCGTGGCAGGTCCCCGCGGAGGCCTCAGAGAGAGCTGGCCGACACAGAGACGGTCACCAGACCGACCCCCTCTGCGGGGCCAGGTCCTTACCTGCGAGACAGGGTCACCAGCACACACCGGGTCTCCCTGAGCTGCTCAGGGCCTCGCCATTGCGGAGGCTGGCCTTCAACTCACGATCCTCCTTCCTCAGCCTCCTGAGCTATTGGGACACCAGGCGGGCGCCACGGCGCCCGGCTGATCGTGATTGACGCCTAATATCAAATCTCATAAATGGTGAAACTATAAAGAATGGAAGCTTGTTTCTCACCGGAAAAAAAAATGACCGACTCTCATTCAACACACGGGCTCCGCACGAGGCCCAAACAAACGACCTGAATTGTGGAGCCAAGTGCCCCTCAGGAAACCTCGGGGTCAGAGGTCACAGGGTCCAGGCCCCATCAGGAAGGTCCCTGAGCTCTGTCGGGGGGAGACTCGCTACCAGGACAGTTCATCCCATGGCCCTTCCTCCAGGAAGCCCTCCTGGATTCCTTCCCTGGGGGGCTCAGGCTCAGGATGCACCCCCAGTCCTGCAGGGTCTCCTCGGCCTCGGGGTGCACCCACAAGAAAACATGCCCCTGTGTCCCCAAGACCGCATGAACCCCTCTTTCTCAAGCAGTTGGCTGAGGACTTCAACACCCCGTTCCCTCTGCGCTGGGTCGGGTCAAGCCCAGCAGAAATCTTGAGTAGCGGAGAGACGGCGGGCAGGCCGGTGCCCCTCTGAGGCCTCGCCTCCTCACTATCTCAGGGTCCAGCTGCCGCGGAGCTCACCTGACGACTCAGACTCTTTGCAACCTGTAAAGTGCCGCTCCCACTTATCTGTGTCTGGGTGACCCCTGGCCACCCGAGCTCTGGAAATATCAAAAAGAAAAATCTAGGAAGAGCCAATTCCGACGTTTTCAACGGGGTGCGGTTCTGAATCGTACAAAGAAACCTGGCTCTGCTCAGCTCGGGACCAAACTCGTTCCTTGGTTCACCGTATCCACCCGGTATGTGCTACCCGCCTTCTAGCTCCTCATTACCATTTCTGTCCTCAGGCTCACTGCCACAGGACTGCAGTGCTCACGTCCTAACGGACCTCATTCTACTTCTTCCTGGGCCCACAGACCACGGGTCCTGATGCAGGGGATTGACCTCGACCACAGAATACTGTTCAACATGCTCTATTTAACTGCCAGTTGTCATTGCGGTTGACATGGGCACGTTAGGCTGTCTCGTGGGTGGGTTTCAAAGGGTTGGGTCCTCTCTGCACTTTCAGGCACCCTCTTGCTGTGTGTCCCCTGGGGAGGAGTGGGGCCTGCAGTCGCGGTCATTGCATTTTGGACGGGACACCTTCATTACGGGGGCCACGTCTGTTTTGCTTCCTGCGGGGTCTGAAGTCAGCAGAGCAGGTGACACAGAGCGGGACTCTGTAATGCTGGTCGCCTGGGGGACCGCACGACCATCATTTAGCAGAAAAGGAGAGTGAGTCACCGCGAAGCCAGGCCCAGACTCTGGTCACCTTGATGCCCAGACGGAGGGCACCTCTGGTGGGGGACAGGCGGAGGGAGGAGGGAGGGAGACTCGGGAGGACAAGGACAAGACAGACAGGTGCAGTGACGTCACCCTCGGGGGAACTTGAAGACGAATTGCCTGGCGCTCTGGCTCCTGTCTGTAACTGATTCTCGCTGAGCCACCTCAGTCGGGATGCCCACCACCCAGATGGCCCACTCCAAAAATGAGTAGAACCAGAATTTCTTTCCCACCCCCCACTATTGGGGATGGAACCCAGGGGCGCCTAACCCCGGAGCCACGTCCCCAGCCCTTTTTATTTTTTTTGAGACAGGGCCTTGCTAAGCGGTTGAGGCTGGCCTCCAACTCGTGAACCTCCTGCCTCAGCCTCCTGAGATTACAGGCGTGTACAAATGTGCCCGGCCAAACCACTGACATCACTGCTGAGGGTCCCAGTGACTCTGGGATTCTGTGTGTCCCAGTGCTACGTGAGCGTCCTGGGGGTGTGACGTCACTTGCCTGGACAATCACTGGAGGGTGCTTTGGAATCTTGAAAATAACACTCTGTGAGGTCTGCAAAGAATTCCTAACTGTAGAGTGACTATCCAGCCAAAAAAATAGCAAATTAGGCTTAACATTGAAAGACAAATAGGGGTAGGTGGCATGGGCACCCACGCCTGTCATCCCAGTGGCTTGGGAGGCTGAGGCAGGAGGATTGAAGGTTTGAGGTCAGCCTGGGCAACGTTAGCGAGGCCCTCAGCAACTCAGCGAGGCCCTGTCTCCAAATAAAACAAATTTCAAAGAAGGGCTGAGGACGGGGCTCAGTGGTTCAGCACCCCCGGGTTCAATCCTCAGTACAAAAAAAATAATAATAATTTGTTTTAATGTCATGATGAGGCTCCTGACCAGAGGCTGCGGGAGGAGGACAGACACGTGGATTAATGGACTGGGCTGGGAACCCATAAAGATGCCTTATGGGAAGTGACTTTTAACACGGCTGCCAAGAAAATTTACTGGGAATCATCTTTCCAACCAATGGCCCTGGGCCAGCGGACTCCACCCGCCAAAGGATGAAGTCTGACTGCGTCTGTTGGCCCTGCCCAGATGAACTCAAAAGGGGTCACAGAGTTCAACAGAAAACCATCATCAGCCTCTTGAAGAGAATCAACATGTAAAACACAAAATCAGAACCACGCCCGAAGGCCCAGTGATGTGCGAGGCTGAGGCAGGAGGATCGAAAGTTCGAGGCCAGCCTCGACCACTTCGTGAGGCTCTCAGCAACTTAGCGAGACCCTGTCTCACGATAAAAGATGAAAAGGGGCTCGGGATGTGGCTCAGCAGTAAAGTGCCCCTGGGTTTAAGGCCCAGGACCAGAACCATCCAACAAGCAAACAAAACCCAGGAGGAGGTACCCCTTCACACTCACTAAGACCTCAGTTTTATTTTTCATTTATTTATTCTTTTTTTAAAAATTTTTTTTTGGTACCAGGGACGGAACTCAGGGGCACTCGACCTCTGAGGCCCATCCCCAGCCCTATTTTGTGTTTTATTGAGAGACAGGGTCTCCCTGAGTGGCTTAGGGCCTCGCTTTTGCTGAGGCTGGCCTCCACCTCGCGATCCTCCTGCCTCAGCCTCCCAAGTTGCTGCAATGACAGATGTGAGCTTCCTCTTGTAATTTTTTTTAAAAAGATGGAAAATAAAAGACTGTGAGGAAATAAAAACCAGAAGCTTCACACTCTTACAGTGGGATATAAAGTATGCCATAACTTTGCTTTATTTATTAACAGGTTTTTTTTTTTTTAAAGAGATGGGGATCTTGCTACGTTGCCCAGACTCTTATGCAGTGGCTGTTCCCAGGTGCGACCCCAGCACTGAGACTTAGTGGGGACACCTGATTGGCATCGTGCACTAGACCCCTGAAACCCTAATGGAGAGCTCTTCCTGCCGTGGCCTCCTGGGTGGTGGGGACGCTGAGCACATATCTCTGCACCTGGCTGCAGTCATTTTGGAAGGCAGAGTGGCGCGTCTACAAAAGTTTCAAGAGTCACCGTGTGACCCAGCAACTGTCATCCTAGGCACAGGCCAAAGAGAACAGGGAACACATGCCCATCAGAATCACGGCAGCATTTTCATAATTCTCAAAAGGTGAGATGAACCCAAATAACCATCTAGAGGTAAATGAATGAGCCAACTGTGGTACGTCCACGCCATGGACTATTCCTCAGCCTCAAAGTGCACCACGTACTGACACCTGCCACAAAACAGATGAACCCCGGAAACATGAACGTAGCTGCAAGAAGCCAACCACACATGACCGCAAATTAATTGCACAACTCATTTGCATGAAATGTCCAGAACGGGCAAATGTATACAGATAGAAAGGAGATGGGGAGTCGCAGAGGGGAGCTGGGAATGTATTTTAGGGGTGATGAGAGTGCTCTAAAATTGATCCAGGTGATGAGCACACAACTCTGTGAACACGCTAAAAATCATTTTACCCTACATTTTAAATAGCTGAATTATATCATCTCAATAAAACTATTTTCTTTAAATGACTTGCACATGGCCTTGCACATGGGAGGCCAGCGCTCTGCCGCTGAGTCCCAGTCCCAGCCCATTTTTTTTTTGTAGTTTCTAATAAAGCTCAGCCTGGGCTTCCTCCTGTGACCGCCTGATGACACTCCTAGGTGAGTGCCAAGGACAAAAGATCTCGCATGCTCACTAAGAAAGGATTCGCACAGAACATGCAGGGCGGCCGCAGGATGCTCATCACGCCCCGGGGTGCACGGGGCAATCGGGATGGTGGACCCAGGTGAGGCAGCCGGATGTAAAAGGGCACGTCCTTCACCACCGGCAGGTCAGGAACAGGTAAGCAGTGTGCACCTGCCATCCCAGCAGCTCGGGAGGCTGAGGCAGGAGGATTGCGAGTTCAAAGCCAGCCTCAACAACCAGAGGCCCTGAGCAGCTCAGGGAGACCCTGTTTCTAAATAAAATGCAAAATAGGGCTGGGGACGAGGCTCAGGGGTGAAGACCCCTGGGTTCAGTCCCCAGTCCGTGGTGCCCCAGGGAGATGGACAGACTCAGCTCCGGTCCCCAGCACTGCACCTCCTAGGCCCAACTGCGCAGGCGCAGGCCGAGGCCTCTCTGGAGCCTGGGTCCCCACAAGCGTGGAGCCCTGCTCGCCGGCGCCCCCTGGCGTCTTACTGCGTCAGCGAGGCCCCTCCCACAGCCCGTCAATCATCTGCCAGTCAACTCCAATCCCGCCTCACCACCTCTAGCTGGAACCACCCACCAGTGTCCCCGCAGACAGGCGATGAAGTCCTCGCAGAATGGCAAAGTCTCTGTCTGCCCTGCCACTGCCTGGCCGTCCCTGGGACAATGCTCCTGCCGGCTGGGTTTCCTTCAGTTCCCAAACGTGCCATTCTCGCCTGGCCCCTGGGCCTTTGCACATGCAGATCCGTCTGCCAGGTGGGAGCCTTGCTCACCTGGTCCCTGGACACCTTTTACTATGGGAATCCTCTGAACCCCGAAGCCTGGGCTGGGTGCCCTGCTAAGCTCCCCACCCGGTGACAGTATCATCCTGTTCCTGCCGGTCTCCCGCCCTAGGCTCAGCTCCTGGAGGGAGGAACCTCCTCTGTCTCTCTTCCCTGTGTCATCTTGGGCTGAAGAAATGACAGGCCTGATGATCAGCTACGGATTGGGCACCAACTGTATACCTGGCCATGACCTTTGCTGTGTGGCCCGGGGGACAGCAGGGGAGCTGACCACGTGCCTGTGGTGAGCTGGACGTGGGGAGCCCCTGATGTTCCTATCTGTGCATTCAGTACCACGGGGAGAGCATTTCTGGGACACCTGCTGTCCCCTGAGCCTAGATCTCAGAACGAACGCAGAAGAGCGGGGTCACCGAGTCAAACTCAGCTTTGATGAGGCGACCCCCAGTTGATCCAGCTTCCTCTGAAACTCCAAGTGCCCAATGAGACGGAAGAGGTCACCAGGCGAAGCTTCCGGGAAAGCGTTTTCAAGGAAACTAACTCAGGAGGAGGCACGAACTTTGGATTTTCCCCCTTTTCTCTTTCTCGCTGTCAGGTGGATGTGATGGTTAGAGCTACAGCAGCCACTTTGTGTCCAGGAGGAACCCCTGAAACAGATGCAGCGGAAACTGCTCCGGCCCTGAGGGTGGAGCTGCCTAATGGGGCCTGGGTCTCCTGCTTCTGGATTCACTTCACACAGGAGAATAGCATCTAGGATATTGAGGATTTTGTCACCAGTGGTCCAACCCGATTCCTTGTAGACACAGATTGACTAGAAAAGTCTCCTGCTGTGGACGGTGTTTTGTTTCTTGCAGTGAGAGCTGACGCTCCTCCCAGCGAGTGGCGGCGACCGCGTCCCCTCCCCTGGACCCTGGGTGGACCCCTGTGGCCGTCTGCACTAATGGATGAGGTGGAAGTGGAGGACGTGACTCCCGCGGCCCAGATCGTAAATCTGCCGCGCACTTCCTCCCGCTCTCCCTGGGGACAGTCGCTCTTGGAACCCGGCCACCGATGTGCGAGAGGAAGCCCAGAGCCACCCGGGCAGAGAGACCCCGGGCAGAGGCCGCAGGTAAGGTCCCGCCCAGCAGCCCAGCCGAGGGCCTGGGCCACGTTCAGTGTCCCCCACCAGGTGACGGTGGCCATTTCCAGAGCCACTGCCCCCCCCCTTGCTGTCAGCCTGGCTTCTGATCAGGCTGCCAGGGTCCTGGCCCAAAGAGGGGACCCCGGGCAGGACACACGACGAACGGATGGAAGCCAGGTGCCATGGCGCACGCCTGTCATCCCAGTGGCTTGGGAGGCTGAGGCAGGAGGATCGCAAGGTGGAGGCCAGCCTCAGCCCTAAGCAACTCAGCGAGACCCTGTCTCCAAATAAAATAGAAAAAGGGCTGGGGACGGGGCTCGGGGGTTAAGCAGCCCTGGGCTCAATCCCTGGTGCCATTAAAGTAAATAAATAAATAACTGGTGTCCTTGGTGGGGACTGCGAGTCAGAGGCGGGGACTTTGGCCACTTCTGTCCACGCAGCCTCGAGGTGATAAACACGGCGGCTCCGCACCATTTCCCGCAACCAGCTGACGAGCTGTGATTTTTATGGCCTCTCTCTCCCTCTCTCCCCCTCCCTCCCCCTCCC